CCCCCTTCTTCTTTTTTTCCCTCCCCCTGTCATCCTCAAGTGGGGTATAGAGGGGGGCCGCCATGCTTCATTTGAGTCCATGTCTCCATATAGAATTCTCCTCACGGTGCTAATAGACTATTTGGCAATTTTTTTTCCCATTTATATATCATTTAGACAGATGAGATGTGCAGCATGTGGTGAAGTGGACCATAATAGCATCTAGATCTTGCGCGTTCCGCTCTATTTTAACCCCGGCGGTCTGTGTTTTTAGGTGAACCCGCTACTGTGGACTATCATCACCATCATCATCATCATCATCAGAATCATCGCAGTGGCAATGGGAGTCAGGACATGGACGCTCGCTGGAGGACCTCCGCGGGGTCCTTGCATCCCAGGTGAGTTTATGCTGTTGGGGGGGTGGAGGTGGATTACCCATAACCCCCTTCCACCACCTCTGCCCCAACCCCCCGCTCCTTCATTAAATGCACCTTTCCCCCAAGTGGCCCTGTGAGAGCACAGATTGCTGGGAGGAAATAGCACCCAAAAAAAAAAGAAAAACACTTACCACATTTCTTGAGGCGTTTACTGAACAAAAATGCACTGTTAATTTCTGTTTGCAGACGAGCCATTGAGAAGCCCTTGCCTTGCGCTACAAAGCGTCTTCAATCAATTGTTTTGAAAAGGCCTTTCCGTTTTCCGACGATGCCGGCGGTTCTGTTGTTTCTCTCTGTAAAGGACTCTCTTCGGTGACGGGTATTCTTGGGTGGATAATACGGCTCTCGTTGTTATTGCTTAAGAATACGCGTAGTCGAGGAGAGTCATGTCAGCGGCGACTGCAATGGACTAGAGAGAGCGTTGAATCCAGAAGGCCCACCTGCCTGCACACACACATGCGTTTGCTAACGCTGAGGTTCACGCCCACATCCATTTATTGAGTCAGCGAAGCTGCATTTCCTGTTTGATGCTTGTGCTGTTGATTTATCCGGCTACTCCTGCTACACATCTTTTCAGCCAGCAGAAAGGAAAAACTGGGGTTTTATGATTCGCCGTCCTCACCCCAAAGGTTGTATATTGTAACGTCCCAGGCGGAGTTGTAGATGCAAATGTGTTCGGTTTGTGCCATATATTCTTTTCTCAGGACCGCACACACTCTACCTTTTTAATGCAAATTGATTTTGAAATGACATTTATCGTGCAGGGTTTCCATATGGAGCCCTGGGAGGGATGGAGGGGGGGAAAAATTGAATGAAATGTCCACGAAGCCACTGACAGCTAAATTTATGCGGATTGTAAAGGAACACACTGCAGATAAACAGTTACCACGGCTTTAGATTGACTGCGGCATGGCTTCCCGTGTAGGCACGCATATATCATGAATATGTATGGGGCGAGCGTATGATGCTGCATTCTAACCTCCATGAAATCCATTTAGGAAACCTAACAGGATCTACTTGACTTATGAAAGCTTACGATCAAATCTTATAAATATCCATGAGAAAAAAGTATTATTTTGCTCTTTATATATATGCATTTTGCATAAAAACTAATGGATTACAATCAGACCGGCTGTTGATGTGTGTTGACGTGGACGATTTGAAAATCTGCAAACATTTTAATTTGTTCTCCATTATCATTCAGCACATTTAAGTGATGTATTAGCATTTCAGATAGACTAAAGGCAACAATCAGCCTGCTCTGTCCTTGATCACTCTGTAATTATCATTCTTTCGGCTATGTGTTTAAATGAATAGAGAGAAAAGAGGTGTGGAGGAGGAATAATGTAATGTTTTACCACTAGGGGACCCACACAACTGAAAATCAGATCAGTTTTTTAGTCTGTTGTTTAACTTTTTAAGTCATTTTTTATATAATTTTTAAGGTGTTTGGGGTGCATAGGTTCAAAACTAATAGAAATATCTGTTTAGATGAATACTTTTAGATTTAACAGGTTTTGGCTGCTTAAAACATGTTACTGTTTTTTTATTCTTAGCATGTACACTTAAAATATGTGGCGTTTCATTTATTCCTTTATTACTTTATGCTCAACAGTACCTTAGGAGTGACAATTGTGAGAAAGGTCACATGCAACCTTAACAATTATGTTATATTACACTATTTTGCTGTATTTAAGATTAACATAATTTTTTTCTTTTTTACTAAAATATTCTACCCTCTCATAGTTTATGTCTGAAGCATATTGATAGAATTTCTCTCTGATATCATTTTTATTGATGCTGTCGAGTAAATATCTCGCTGTAAACTCCTCACACAGATTAACTTCCATCTGTCTGTGGTTTATGACGTGATGAAATTATTCAGGCCTCTGCAGCTCATCTTCATTTGTTCTTTATTGAAATTATTTTTATGTGCACATCGTCTTTGTTCCTCCCCCTCATATCATAAATAAAGCTTGATTTAAGTAAAATTATGATGCATTTGTATATTTTCTCCTTTTGTATGTGAAAAGTCGGTTTTAAATGTAGGTCATAAATATGCAAGCCAAAAACAAAAAAATACATTACAAATGATATTAAAGATATACACCACATACAAACAAATCATGAACAATTAAACAGTGTTGTTATGCTTCAAAAAGCATTTATCGTAATGTTGAGATTCATTACTGCAGATTTTGCTCTGGGATATTTTTATTTATTTATTTGCGTTGTTTTTTTGACACCATTGAGCCCTCTTTTCTTGTTGTTGTCTGAGCTTGTGGCATTCGACAGCTTGCGGATTATTTTGCAAGACAAAATGTAGCCCCAAACAACAGAAAACAGACAAAATAGATGTCATTCTGGTCATCAGCACATTCTTTAGAATAAGACTGAGATGTTTTTGTGACAGGACACAGCGTCCATTACTCTATATTCGGATTATTCAGCTGTAGGATCGATGTTTTTGTTTATGTCTCTGTGCTGCTCTCAGAAGGTTGAATTCACTCAGTCGCAAAAGCCCTAAATTACAGGAACATTTTCTCTGCAGTAACTTTAATTAATTTGAAAGGATTTGAGATATTGACAAGAAGTGGAGCATGTTTGTCAGTATTTATTTTTTGGCCATTTTGTCCCGTCAAAGGGAAGCTGAAGTATGTAAGCTTTTTAAACATTTAAGGTATGAATTATTAATTGATTCGCATGACTACAATCTACTGTTTATACTCGATTAATTCAGTTTATGGAATATAAATAATTTTTTGCTTTGTATAATGAATATTCATTCAACTAATTAGTTTACCCTTCATGGTTGTATGGGTTGGTATTTAAACCCAGCTCAAAGGGTTATTTTTTTATAGACTCAGCATTTTTAAGTCTGCTCCTTTAAAGGATTTTCCTCATACATGATGTCATGATATTCTATCATCCCTGATCATAATGCTTTTCACCACAAATAAGATCAGTGGCATTAATCAATTGAAAATGTGCTGTATTAGCATGTTTCCCTCAATACAGGAAATGGTGAAGTTACACGACCAGTTAAAAGTTTGGACACACTTGACTGAATTTGTGATTCTCATGGTTTTGAAAGCCTTTTGCTTAAAGTATATATAAATATAAATATATTTGATTAACATGAATTTAACATGTATGGTTAAACTGGGCCATATGGTGAAGTAAAAGCAGCCAAAAAGTATCCAATGTTGCTTGAAAAGCATTGTGAAACTGGTTGAGCAACTGAAGGATGAACTTTTTTAAACGTATTTTGTTCTCTATTAAATTCTTATACAAGGTAAAAATATTTTTTTCAAAGTTGTAAATAAAAATAGTGTACACATTTCAGTGTACACTCTTAAAAATAAAAGTTCTTTATTAGCATTGACAGATTCATGAAGAACCTTGGAACCTTTATATTGTACAAAATGTTCTATACAATGGAAAAAGGTTCTTTAGATTATTAAAATATTCTTCACACTAAGAAAAAAATGTTCCATCAAGAACTGTTCACAGAAAGGTTCTGTTGGGAACCAGTTTACTCTACAAACCCCCCCTTTGGAACGTTTATTTTAATTAGT